ACTAGCAGTTAGACATGAAGAGGTCACCTAGCACTAGCAGTTAGACTTGAAGAGGTCACCTAGCACTAGCAGTTAGACATGAAGAGGTCACCTAGCACTAGCAGTTAGACATGAAGAAGTCACCTAGCACTAGCAGTTAGACATGAAGAGGTCACATAGCACTAGCAGTTAGACATGAAGAGGTCACCTAGCACTAGCAGTTAGACTTGAAGAGGTCACCTGGTACTAGCAGTTAGACATGAAGAAGTCACCTGGCACTAGCAGTTAGACATGAAGAGCTCACCTAGCACTAGCAGTTAGACATAAAGAGCTCACCTAGCACTAGCAGTTAGACATGAAGAGGTCATCTGGCACTAGCAGTTAGACATGCAGAGCTCACCTGGTACTAGCAGTTAGACATGAAAAGCTCACCTGGTACTAGCAGTTAGACATGAAGAGCTCACCTAGCACTAGCAGTTAGACATGACGAGGTCACCTAGCACTAGCAGTTAGACATGAAGAAGTCACCTAGCACTAGCAGTTAGACATGACGAGGTCACATAGCACTAGCAGTTAGACATGAAGAGCTCACCTGGTACTAGCAGTTAGACATGAAGAGCTCACCTGGCACTAGCAGTTAGACATGAAGAGCTCACCTAGCACTAGCAGTTACACATGAAGAAGTCACCTGGTACTAGCAGTTAGACATGAAGAGGTCACCTAGCACTAGCAGTTAGACATGAAGAGGTCACCTAGCACTAGCAGTTAGACATGAAGAAGTCACCTAGCACTAGCAGTTCGACATGAAGAGGTCACATAGCACTAGCAGTTAGACATGAAGAGGTCACCTAGCACTAGCAGTTAGACTTGAAGAGGTCACCTGGTACTAGCAGTTAGACATGAAGAAGTCACCTGGCACTAGCAATTAGACATGAAGATGTCACCTGGTACTAGCAGTTAGACATGAAGAAGTCACCTAGCACTAGCAGTTAGACATGACGAGGTCACCTAGCACTAGCAGTTAGAGATGAAGAGGTCACCTGGCACTAGCAGTTAGACATGAAGAGGTCACCTAGCACTAGCAGTTAGACATGAAGAGCTCACCTGGTACTAGCAGTTAGACATGAAGAGCTCACCTGGTACTAGCAGTTAGACATGAAGAGGTCACCTGGTACTAGCAGTTAGACATGAAGAGTTCACCTGGTACTAGCAGTTAGACATGAAGAGGTCACCTAGCACTAGCAGTTGGACATGAAGAGGTCACCTGGTACTAGCAGTTACACATGAAGAGGTCACTTGGCACTAGCAGTTAGACATGAAGAGGTCACCTAGCACTAGCAGTTAGACATGAAGAGGTCACTTGGCACTAGCAGTTAGACATGAAGAGGTCACCTAGCACTAGCAGTTAGACATGAAGAGGTCACTTGGCAATAGCAGTTAGACATGAAGAGGTCACCTAGCACTAGCAGTTAGACATGAAGAGCTCACCTGGCACTAGCAGTTAGACATGAAGAGGTCACCTGGCACTAGCAGTTAGACATGAAGAGGTCACTTGGCACTAGCAGTTAGACATGAAGAGGTCACCTAGCACTAGCAGTTAGACATGAAGAGGTCACCTGGCACTAGAAGTTAGACATTAAGAGGTCACCTGGCACTAGCAGTTAGACATGAAGAGGTCACCTAGCACTAGCAGTTAGACATGAAGAGGTCACTTGGCACTAGTAGTTAGACATGAAGAGCCCTGTCCAATAAGTAATCGGCAAAGGACCAATGTCACCCTAGTGACGCCACTGCCACATGATACCTGACCCATATTATTGAGACATCAACATTACACTGACCGCCTTTACTTCCTATGACTGGAACCCATTTAAAAATGGATAGATTTCGGAGCCACAGGAGATTGACTGATAGAGCGATGAAGAAACTATCTGTCGTGAGAATGTGTTGTTGTTTTTGCTTTTGTCGTCGTTGTTATTGTTGAAGGTGGTGTTGTTGCTGCTTCTGATTTCTGTGAGCATATTGTGCACTTAATAATATGAATATAGGAGGAGTTCTAGGAAGAATGTTCACAATAAGGTTAACCAAACAAAAAACAAAACAAAAAAACACACACAAAACAAGAACTGTAAAATGGCCAGTCAGAAGTATGTTTGGAAGTGAAGACAAATAGAAGCAGGCGAGATATGTTTTTAAGAAAAATGTTGAGAAAATGAAGTTGTTGGTTTCCATGGCACCGCTAGCGGCGTCACCCCACAGTGTTATTGTCACTCAGTAACCGAGCAAACTATCTTCACTTGCACCGTATGTTCGTACTCTTATGACAAGATGGAACTGGAACATGTTGTGACCACTGGAAATCTGCGGAAAGAGAGACAAAGGAAGTCAACGCTGGAAAATTCTTGACAGCTTTGTGCAATGGCATGGAAAGGTGCCGATACACGAATTTAAGCAGTCATTTGCAGATCCCAGACTGTGGTGTGGAAAAGATCGACCACGCCAATCGGCAAGGTACTTGTTGAGGATGATAACTTATACCAATAATAGGGAACAACCGACGCCGTGTCACGCATTACACGAGGCACGTTGTGACGGCGTCGATGTTCCCATGTCACACACACAACTCTGACAACAACTCTCGGAACGGTCTGTAAGCACTTTCCACGTAATTGTTCTCTATATAGTCGTACAGGGTTAGTCAAGTATTTACATTTTTTAATCGAGCAGATATAGTGTTTAGATGCAAACGACGTTTTCTGTTCAAATAATTCAACGCAGTACAAACAATAAAACACTGGGAAAACCAGACAAACAACGAGTGACATGACAAAACCGAATGTTGGGGTCAAACACCAGCTGTAATAAACAACAACAAACAACGAGTGACATGACACAACCGAATGTTTGGGTCAAACACAAGCAGTAATAAATCACAACAGACAACTAGTGACATGACACAACCGAATGTTTAGGTCAAACACTAGCAGTCGTGTACCACAACAAACAACCAGTGACATGACACAACCGAATGTTTAGGTCAAACACCAGCAGCAGTTTACCACAACAAACAACGAGTGACATGACACAACCGAATGTTTGGGTCAAACACCAGAAGTATTGTACCACAACAAACAACGAGTGACATGACACAACCGAATGTTTGGGTCAAACACCAGCAGTAGTGTACCACAACAAACAACGAGTGACATGACACAACCGAATGTTTAGGTCAAACACTAGCAGTCGTGTACCACAACAAACAACCAGTGACATGACACAACCGAATGTTTAGGTCAAACACCAGCAGCAGTTTACCACAACAAACAACGAGTGACATGACACAACCGAATGTTTTGGTCAAACACCAGCAGTAGTGTATCACAACAAACAACGAGTGACATGACACAACCGAATGTTTGGGTCAAACACAAGCAGTAGTGTACCTCAACAAACAAAAGAGACGGTCAACTAACGGAATGACATGACACGTAAATGAAAACCGTATGTTTAGGTCAAACACTAGCAAACGTTGATCACCACCACAGGAACAAACATTTCTACCAGTGACATGACACAACCGAATGTTTAGGTCAAACACTAGCAGTAATAACTCACATCAAACAAAAGAGACGGTCAAATACACCGGAATAGATCGAACTGGTATCCTGAAGAACCGTCTAATGAAAAGACAGGGGTCAGGAGGACGGTCTGTAGACAAGGGGTCTATTTGACGGGTTTGGGCGATCTGTATACAAGAGGTTCCCTTCTGTAGACAACTATTTGACTGTCCAAGAGGTCTAAAACGTTGATCTGTCACAATCAGATTTAGACAAAGGGGTCTATTTGATCTGGACAAGGGGTCTATTTGACGGTGTTGGTAGACAAGAGGTCAGTCTGTAACAACATTTGACGCCTGTGACAAGGGGTAGTTCTGTTCTTCTTCGTTCTATTTGACGATCTGTAGACAAAGGTGATGAGGACCACAAGGGGTCTTTCGGTTTCATGTCTCGTAGACAAACGGTTTCTGTCTTAGACAAGATGTCTATTTGACGGTTTCTGCCTGTAGACAAGGGGTCTATTTGAGGTCTGTAGACAAGGGGTCTATGAATTCTGTAGACAAGGGGATATTTGCCCGACAAGAGGTCTATTTGACGGTTTCTGTCTGTAGACAAGGGGTCTATTTGATTGTCTGTAGACAAGGGGTCTATTTGACGGTTTCTGTCTGTAGACAAGGGGTCTATTTGACGGTTTCTGTCTGTAGACAAGGGGTCTATTTGACGGTTTCTGTCTGTAGACAAGGGGTCTATTTGACGGTTTCTGTCTGTAGACAAGGGGTCTATTTGACGGTTTCTGTCTGTAGACAAAGGGTCTATTTGACGGTTTATGTCTGTAGACAAAGGGTCTATTTGACGGTGTCTGTCTGTAGACAAAGGGTCTATTTGACGGTTTCTGTCTGTAGACAAGGGGTCTATTTGACGGTTTCTGTCTGTAGACAACGGTTTCTGTCTGTCGACAAGGGGTCTATTTGACGGGTCTATTTGACGGTTTTGTCTGTAGACAAAGGGTCTCTGACGGGTGTCTGTCTGTAGACAAAGGGTCTATTTGACGGTTTCTGTCTGTAGACAAGGGGTCTATTTGACGGTTTCTGTCTGTAGACAAGGGGTCTATTTGGCGGTTTCAAAACGGGAAGTATATGTAGCCTAAGTACAGACACCTTGTGATGCCAGTGACGCATCAAGCATTCGACACAATTTTACGAACTAGCCGGCACTCTGTGGGGGAACATGCCACTGAACGACTTTACTTCCCGTGACATTCTGCGTGTCTAATGTACAGCTGGGTAGATTTGGGAGCCAAGGCTCATTATTACCACATTCGGGACAGACATCTAGAAATGGCTCTACCACGACTGTGCATATAAATAATGCAGCAATGAGAATCTGTTTATAGCTATTGTAAGTTGTGTAAAATACATGTTACAGTCATATGCTTCCTTTGCAAAGAAGTTGTTCCCCGGGTGCTCAGCTGGCAGGCGGACCTCTGTATTTGGAACTTTTCTGTACGAAGCCATTTTCTATCATTGAGTAGCCCATGTCGATCAGCGACTTGTTGACGTCAACGGGATCGATTCCAAGTATCTGGGTCATCTGCGTGGGCAACAAAACCGTTATGAGTTAGGTGACTATATCTCTTTAGACCTGCAGGAGTTTCTATGCTGTGAAATATGGAGTTGGAATCTACACTGACTTTTCTCGCAGCCTTGATTCCGCAAGAAAGAGTTGTTAGGAAAAAGAAAAGAGACGAAGGGGAAGACGAAAAGTATTAGTAGTAATAATAGTAGTAGTAGTAGTAGTAGTAGTAGTAGTAGTAGTAGTAGTAGTAGTAGTAGTAGTAGTAGTAGTAGTAGTAGTAGTAGTAGTAGTAGTAGTAGTAGTAGTAGTAGTAGTAGTAGTAGTAGTAGTAGTAGTAGTAGTAGTAGTAGTAGTGGGCAACGTTTGTGTAATACTTAAATAATCTCTGTCTCCCTCTCTCTCTCAAACACACACACACACACACACATACATATATATATATATATATATATATATATATGTGTGTGTGTGTGTGTGTGTGGGGGGAGGGGGGTGCGTGTTTGTGTGTGCTAGCGAGAAAAAAAATAATAAAAGGGAAAAACACAGAAAGTAGGAGGCTAAGGACAATTGTGATTAGGACCAAAAAAAAAGTAATAGTTCCCCGCTGAACAGCAAAAACAGGACAAGTAAAGAAAAGACAAGGGGGTCTTCTTTTGCTGCTCCACTGACTTTGCTAATCTCTGCTGCCGTGTTGTGATATTCCGGTATTCCCCGTGCTTTGGGCTGCTTTTATTATCCACTCACCTTCTTCCAGTGCTGGGTCCGCTCATTCTATGCCGTCGTTTGATCGTTTTTTTTTTTATCTTTACCCAGCGTCCTAAGGGCGCATTGATAACCCTTAGTCTATCTTGATCAGGCCTACCTCAGGCGGACCTTGTTCTTCTCAGTAATCCATGGAAGGCTGGGGTTTTACTCCCCCCTCCCCTACCCCCCTTCTGCGCCCCAGCGGAAAACTGCCTGAGACAACAAACAAGATGAAGGCGAAATCTGGCTCCGTTGACCAGCTTGCTGAGTTGAATGCATGAGGCGACACAGTTGCCGATGTCAGGAAACGAACCTACGACCGCCAGGGCGCGATGTACACGTCTTAATTACTTAGCCACAACAATTTGATTACAATAAACACAGTGTTGTGATTACCCTTGAGTTGTCCAGAAGGAAAGGTTTGCCAGAAACCAATCTTGCAGTCCGCAGCAATTTATTGAACAGCGAAACGAAGGTCAGCACCCCGTCAGGGAGTTGCTTTGTGGGGACATTGTAACCTGCAAAAATAGACACGAAAATTGGGGGGTTGGGGGGGGGGGGGTTATATAATGAAATAGGCTATGACATTTTTTAACGTTGTGCCGTCTCCACATTGACGGTTGGCGATAGTCTGCCACTGATGTATTTGGCATTGCTATGGGGTAAGACACCAATATCTGCCACAGCGAGACTCAGGTTCCGTATGCCACAGCGAGACTCAGGTTCCGTATGTCGATAGCGAGACTCAGGTTCCCTATGCCGACAGCGAGGAGAACGGTGTATTGTATAAATTGTCCGAACCCTAAACTCGTCCATGTAATTGTTAAACGAAACGTTAAAACACTCGATGAATCATGTAGAGATGTTAACACTCATTGCAGAGAACGTATAACAGAACAACAAAGTATAACAGAATCAGAGAATATAACAGAGATTGTGCAGAGAATGTATAACAGAGATTGTGCAGAGAATGTATAACAGAGATTGTGCAGAGAATGTATAACATTCTGGTGATTGCTGTGATGTCGGACCAAAACACACACACAAACACACAAACACACACACACACACACATACACACACGGTTATGCTGGAGTAGCATGTAAAATGAGCAGTTCTCAGATGTGTCCACACTCAGTGGGACCCATGATATCCAGGGAAATACATGCCGACCTAACAACTCACAGGCAAGGAACCCAAGCATGGCGAGAACAGGGCAGGAGTGTCATATGGGTGGAGATACAGAGGAAAGCATGGTACACAGAACAAAAAAGTATACAGAACAAAAAAGGTATACAAGACATGAAAGGTACACAAGACAAGAAAGGTATACTAGACAAAGTATGTTTACAAGACAAGAAAGGTATCCAAGAAGAAATGTATACAGGACAAGAAAGGTTGTAAAGAGTGATATTTTCACCCCGATTGGGAAGGTCGGGGGGGGGGGGGGAAGCCCCAAGCTAACAATAATACCGAAGAAGCCAGATACTCGGATTAAACGAGGTTTTCAAGATAGGGGACGACGACAAGTTATCACGTGGAACCTGATGATAATGATCACAGGTCGCCACGTGAAACCAATAGACAACCACAGGTTGCCATGTTGAACGAATACTGGGTATATATCCAGACTCTAGTCTGATCAAGTTAGTATGAGTGGACTGTCGGAGTGAACGGACGGGAGAGTGATCGAGAGAATGACAACGTGAGACTGATTGCTGTGAGAGGAAGAGCAGACAACGACATCCATTGAAGCCAAGACTCCATTGAAGCCAAGACTCCATTGAAGCCAAGACTCCATTGAAGCCAAGACTCCATTGAAGCCAAGACTCCATTGAAGCCAAGACTCCATTGAAGCCAAGACTCCATTGAAGCCAAGACTCCATTGAAGCCAAGACCAGAGAGGCCAGTCTGTATGAAGTCAAGGAGAAGAACCAGATACATCTGTGCAAACTCTGGTCAGTGACTGCGTGAGAAACCAGCATGTTAAAGTCTGAGTAATGTGGTGTGTGAAAGCTGTTTCTTAGGACACGGACCGGACGTTTATGTAAGTGATAAGATGTCAGTAAACTGATGTATCGTACTGCTAAGTCGGTGTCGGATTGTCCCAGTTATGTCACCGTAGAATGTGTCCTAAGAGCATTCACTGCACACATCATTGCCTAGACAACGATTCACTGCAAAGGTATACAAGACAAGAAAGGTATACAGGACAAGAAATGTATACAAGACATAAAAAGTATTCAAGACAGGAAAAGGTATACAGAAGAAGAAAGGTATACAAGACAAGAAAGGTATACAAGACAAGAAAGGTATACAAGACAAGAAATGTATATAAGACAAAAAAAAGTATTCAAGACAGGAAAAGGTATACAGGACAAGAAAGGTATACAGGACAAGAAATGTATGCAAGACATAACAAGTATTCAAGACAGGAAAAGGTATACAGGACAAGAAAGGTATACAGGACAAGAAAGGTATACAGGACAAGAAAGGTATACAGGACAAGAAAGGTATACAAGACAAGAAAGGTATACAGGACAAGAAAGGTATACAGGACAAGAAAGGTATACAGGACAAGAAATGTATGCAAGACATAAAAAGTATTCAAGACAGGAAAAGGTATACAGGACAAAAAAAGGTATACAAGACAAGAAAGGTATACAGGACAAGAAAGGTATACAAGACAAGAAGGGTATACAGGACGAGAAATGTATAGAAGACAAGAAAGGTATACAGGACAAGAAATGTATACAAGATATAAAAGGTATTCAAGACAAGAAAAGTATACAAGACACGAAAGGTATCAAGACAAGAAAGGTATTTATAACATACCTTGACTCTTGAACTCCTTGTCCAGTATGGCAGCAATTTCTACAATCCATAAGGTCTTGTTGATGAGCAGATGTCAAGTTTGGGGGGGGGGGGGGTGTGGGGGTGGGGGACCCCACTGGGCCCTAAGAAGCATGTCGTAACATGCGACTAATAAGGGGTGTGCTGGAATCGGATGTTTGAATGAAATGTGCAGACAATTAAAGTCTAGCTATAAAGGACAACATAGCGGGCTAACTGTCTTTTTACGAGCTAAAGGAGAGTGGGGGGAAGGAGGAGGAGAAGAAGAAGAAGTAGTAATCGGAGGAGGAGTAACCGAAGAAGAAGAAGAAGAAGAAGAAGAAGAAGAAGAAGAAGAAGAAGAAGAAGAAGAAGAAGAAGAAGAAGAAGAAGAAGAAGAAGAAGAAAAAAGAAGAAAGAAAGAAAGAAGAAGAAGAAGAAGAAGAAGAAGAAGAAGAAGAAGAAGAAGAAGAAGAAGAAGAAGAAGAAGAAGAAGAAGAAGAAGAAGAAGAAGAAGAAGAAGAACAACAACACAGGAAAGAATGTAATGTTTGACCTAGTGCGTTATATCTGGCCTGGAGCACATTGCAGAATAGACAACAACCGGCGACTCACGAGATCAACATGATAGCGACATCAACCCTTTGCGTCCATGAACATTTCCGTAGACGCATGTTAGACTGTGTGGAGCTTGGAACCTAGGTAAAATTTGTCTCTAAATATCTGTCATGAAAGAGATTTGAACTACAGACACCCGGACGGGCTGGCAATCGTGCAAGAGAAAGCATTACTGAAGCGCCTTTATCATTGAGACCAATCAGCACTCGCTGGCTGATGTGGCCAACATCACAACATCGCCTTTACTTTGATGGATTTTCTCTAATACAATTTTAGGCAGGGGCCAAGGTCATGATTCCAGAAGTCCCACTCGACGGGGATTCGAACCCAAAGTCGTCGGGCCAACAGGCTAGCGTGCAGGCGCCTCGACACGGCGTCTCTCGTGTCTATTATTAGCAACAGGAAACTAATCTTGCTATTGATTCTACTGTGTCCGATTACAATTGTTTGTGCCCATAACTGAAACAGACTATAGACGGAGGTTAACTAGGCGAGCAAGTGAAACAGACGATTGAAAGATGAAACAAACACATGATTTTCGTACAAGAGTTGAACTGAGGCAAAGTTCGCCTAAAGAAATTCACCAGTTAGTTAGGAAGTGAAACAAACATACGATTCTCGTTCAAGAGTTGGAAGTCCTGACTAAGGCAAAGCTCACCACAGTTAGTTGAGTACCGGCTCTTACAGCCTAGCCCTGTGTGTCTGTGTCATGTGTTGTAATCGAACTTACGAAACACACCCGAATCATTCGTGATTGATATTTAAACTAACCACACAAACAGTTCATGACATTGTGAACGTTCGTGACAGTGGTACATTTACAACAGTATAACGGAAGCAGGCAATGATTTAGTGAGAGAAACAAGTAGCAGCTGAAATAGAAACCGCGTTTGCCAACGACCATGCACAGAAGAAAGCAGAAGACATTATAAACTGTCATATATGAAGGACACGAACGGGTACTGTTCCAGTGTTTTTCAGTTGACCTGGTCTCCGCCATAGTCAAGGGATTAGATGAGACGAGAGGACGATTGCGTATTGGTAAGTGTTGTTTGTATGTATTCGTTCCATGTTCGTTCAGTTGTGTTTGTTCCCTCTGTGTTGTTCTATTTCTTTCCCTACGTTTTCGTCATAAAACCATTCTTAGAACCCAAGTAATGCCACTCAACCCCCCCCCCCCCCCCGGGCCGCCCCAGGTTGTATGTGTGTGTGTGTAGTGACCGCACAAGCTTTCTTGTTGAAGCCTACATGAGATTGTGTCAGCGACCACTAGTGACCGCACAAGCTTTCTTGTTGAAGCCTTCATGAGATTATGTCAGCGACCACTAGTGACCACACAATCTTTCTTGTTGAAGCCTACACGAGAAAGTGTCAGACTTCACCGTAGACCTTGTTAATGATTGAATGTATTTCCTTGTAGGTGTCATGACATCGCACCTTGATCCTCTGATATCGTGCTATGTCGAGGTGAAGTAAAACTTACTACAAAGTGTCCGTTTGCGCGCTTGATAATTTGGATTCCCAGCGACTCTGTAGTACCAGCTGTCTATAGTTTGCATGGTGGGCCTCTTCTTCGCTTCCCGCCTGGTCTGTTGTGGTATACTGTCTGCTGATATCCGCGTTATATGGTCGAACCATTTCACTTTTCTGGTTACACACATAGCTACCCCTACCCTGATCTCTTGTTAAGCTAAGCAAGTAAGTAATAGGCCTATATTCACACATCGCTTGTATGATAAAGTTAGTAAAGAACCCTTTTCAGGCCTTTAGGCGCATCGGGTATATGGGAAAAGCGCCCATATTTTTTCAGACTATCGGCACTAGGTGGGTAATGTGGTCAGCATTACGTAGGCCGTCTCTTCTTCCACAGGACAGCCATTTCGGTACCCATTTTAGGCTGGATCGACCTGCAAAACCCCATACCATGATACAAATCCACGGAGCCAGCAGTGGGTTCCGATCGCGGTATGTTAGAATTACAAGTCGGACTGGCAACGCCTAAGCCACGGACCCCCTCGCTTATGTGATGCCGGTCGTAATTTCACAGTCAGTTTGGCCCTCAATGGCTGTTTCCGTGAACATCAGGCCGGTCGTCTTTATATGACAGGACTTACCTGCTTCCTCTTGTAGGCTGGCTTGAGTTGAGAGCCAGTCTTTGTTTTTTTTTTAAAATTGTTTAGGACTCGAACCCAAGCTCTTTGGTCCAAGAGGCCCTCGTCCAGCCACTACACCATCGCGACTTCCATACATCGCCTCTCTTCTCTGTCTTTCTTTCTCTCTGATTGTCTATGTGAGTCTCTTTCTCTCTCTCTCTCTCTCTCTCTCTCTCTCTCTCTCTCTCTCTCTTTGTCTTTCTCTCTGTGTTGTCTTTCTTTCTGTCTCTGTATGTCTTTCTTTGTCTGTATCTCTTTATATGCCTCTCTGTTTATTTCTCTTTGTCTCTCTAGTTCTGTCTCTCTCTGTCATTCCCCTCCCCTCTCTGTCTCTATCTGCGTGTCTATGTGTGCCTCTTCCCTGTCTCTCTCCCTTCCCCTCTCTCAATCTCTGGTCCTCTCGCCGGATCTAAACATGCGCCCTGCAGATGTGTGAGTGAAAGTGCTGACCAACAGCCTCTGGTGTGGTCATACAGCGGACATGTGCCAGAGCCACGTCACGGACGTCCACCGTTGGGAAACTCAGTTTGGGGCACATAGGCATTTTGCGTTCCAGCAGTTGAGCAATGATCTGAAAGATATCAATTCATACATTTCATTCTAAAACCTTGTTTTTAAACACAGTATATTGCCTACCATGTTACTGCCGTATAACTAACGTATAACTGCTATATTAGCTCATAGAGAAAATTTATTTTAGGAAAGAAACATTTATTTGTGTGGGAACGTCATCAAGAGAGAGAGAGAGAGAGAGAGAGAGAGAGAGAGAGAGAGAGAGAGAGAGAGAGAGAGAGAGAGAGAGAGAGAGAGAGAGAGAGAGAGAGAGAGAGAGAGAGAGAGAAAATAACTTAAATTATTCATTAACGGATTTGTTTATTAAGGTACTTAAAACACAACTGAGTTCAATAAAGGATATGTTAACTGACAATTGCTATCTAAAAGTGTGATAACCATACGCTGCAGACTACATGAACATAACATGCCCAAATACTGGCCCCGCAGACGAGCCAACAAACTTTTTTTCTGAAGGGTTAAAATGTGGGCACACATGCCTGTTTTACATTCGGCCCTTTTAAGAACTTATCCTTCATGCATTTTTTATATCAAGCATATGTACATTTATCAAATTCATGGTATTAATGTGAACACACACACGCACACGCATGTCAAGCAGTATAGGTACTGTCCCCAGGACTGGCGTGTTGTGTGGGTACTTTTCCGGGGACTGGCGTGTGGTGTGGGTACTGTCCCAGGGATTAGCGTGTGGTGTAGGTACTGTTCCAGGGACTGGCGTATGGTGTGGGTACTGTCCCCAGTACTGGCGTGTGTTGTGGCTACCATCCCTTGGATTATCATTGAGTGTGTGAGGTGATGTAACTATACATACCCTGCCCAGATACTGCTCCCGTGATTTGTGTGTGGTGTGGGTACTATAACCGGGACTGGTTTGTAGTGTGGGTACTGTCCCTTGAACTGTCGTGTGGTGTGGGATTGTCCCCGGGATTGCCGTAAAGTGTGGGTACTGTCCCTTGAACTGTCGTGTGGTGTGGGATTGTCCCCGGGATTGCCGTAAAGTGTGGGTACTGTCCCTTGAACTGTCGTGTGGTGTGGGATTGTCCCCGGGATTGCCGTAAAGTGTGGGTACTTTCTCTTGAACTGTTGTGTGGTGTTGGTATTGTCCCCGGTATTGCCATAAAGTGAGGGTACTGTCCCACACTGTACTGTGTGGGATTGCAATGTAATATGTATGGTTGCTGTATCAGGACATAACCTACCCAGATACTGCTTCCGGGACTGCCATGGAGTGTGGGTCCGACGATGAATCCTGGGTTGACCACCACAAACTCCAACTTTTGATTCTCTGTATTTATTTAAAAACCAAAATAAAAATATTGCCTACTGAATACTAGCTGTGTGTGTGTGTGTGTGTGTGTGTGTGTGTGTTTGTGTGTGTGTGTGCGTGAGAGAGAGAGAGAGAGAGAGAGAGAGAGAGAGAGAGAGAGAGAGAGAGAGAGGAAACAGGTTACATAAGTCAGAAATGCACACACACACACATACACACAGACATGTGCGCACCTACATATGGGCACAACTTTCAATAAAATAGTGGACACGGTTTTCATTTTGAAGCATCCACCCTAGTTTTGGTCGAAAGGCAAGAGAAGCTACAGTTGTAGAACAGTATAACTGAGAACGACTAAAACAATAACTGATAAACTACAAACAGTAAGTAACTGAAGTTTGTCTAGAATAAAGGGATTAAGTGACACGATAGAGGTACTGATGTGCTGCTGCGGAAGAGAACTAAACAATTGCCATAGAATCAAGAGGCGTAGATAAAACACATGGAAATAAAAACATAAAACATATTAGAATGTCGATACACTGGAACCCACAGGGATATAGAATTGAAGGTAGGCACACGGAAACGGGAATCTGTGGAGTGAAATCACAAAGATTTGGAGGACATAGTGTGAGCTACATGCGATTGTGACGAGTAGAAAGATCATGGCGTGAATTGGTTGGGGGTCTATGCTCTAGTGGGAGCAATGGAAGGCACAAGAAGAAGATGGCTTCGACATCACATGACAGTGTGACCGTTAATAAACTACAACCAACCTGGCAAGTGTTGCACGTAATCCCAGGCAGCCCTCTCAGCCAGGATTTTGCTCTTGGAGTAGGCCAAGATCCCAGGCTGGCTGGGGTCGACCCAGTCTGTCTCCGTATAGGGTGTTTTATTGCCGCCTCGACCTGTAACAGTGAGTACATTCGGTAGACATAATGAACGCATAATGTACGGGTTGTTGTGTGTCATGGAGGTGGTACATAATCTACAAGTTGTTTAGCGTCACGACATTGATACGTATTTAAAAATGTATGTCGTTTGGTATCATACAATTTAAACATATAAACATTATGTTTGTGTTATTTGGGTGTCACAAAATTGATAGATATAAACATAATGTATATATAGTTTAGGTTTCACATAACTGACACATGTATGCTGAATGTTGAAGTAACAATAGACATCACGGCACTAGGGACACTCCAATAAGCGCTCTGTCCTCATCTTTAGCAACAAGCGAAGAGTTTTTAACTCCGATGGCACCAGTAACTAACTGATTGTATATTCGTCTCACCTTTTCCTTGAGTATTGAGCGTCGGCCAGATTCCCTTGTAACCCCTGGCAGCGCCATTCTCCTCTGACCGTAATGATTAATTTGTGCCGCTGAACTGTTCACCTGCTCCCAAAAGGCCCTCACAACTTCTAGCTTGTTATACATCGGTTCAACCAGAAGTGGTGCAGAACCGGCCAACCTATCTGCCTGCTCATTTCTGAACATATTGGCATCACATGGAAATAGTTACATGTGTGTACAGCTGATTTTCAAGCCAGCCGAAGGCAGCAGTAACTGCCTCTATCTCCATTCTTAAACTAGACATTGTTAGGCTTTTCTGCACTAAGCGACATCCATTTAGCCTTTGCTATGAACCCTTATACATTTCGTCTGACTCTCAACACAGAGCCATCTGTATAATCACCTGGAAGGGAATTGTCATGAATCATTTGTTGAACATCTGATTTTTCAGCACCAAATGGCCAGTCCCTGCACTCACGACCTAAGTTATTAGAACCCTACATAAAACTGATTCTTGTTCGGACACTTTGACCCCCTCCTCTCCCCGCCCAAATTTATCAAGCCTGCTAATTGTGTTTTCAGCCTGCGCCATCCACAGCTTCCCTTCATCTTTCAGTCAGTGACCCTTAGCTCTAACCAGGGCTTCATGCAGGAGGTGCTTCTTGTCTGCAGCTACTCTGAGAAACAATGATACTGTTTGCAATAGTAGGCAGTGCATGTATTTATCTCAGATTTAATACCGGGCTATCTCTTGTACATCCCAGAATTACTTGCATAGCGTCATTCTGTGTGCGTTCAAGTTTCATCAGCTGACTCTGTGATATAGTAAGCATGCCAAGCCCATAATCTGTTACCCACAGGGCGACATGCAGTGACTGCCTGTATCTCAATTCTCAAACCATTCATACACGGGGAACGCAGTACTGATAAGAGCAAAGAACCTAATGGACCCGTAGGCATGTAAACACATAACACCAAGCGATCGAGCTCGCCCTAGCTCGGCTACCTATCTTCAATTAAACTGCGACGCCTAGCGATACTAAACAGATAGTGGACACACACAAAAGGAAAGTAATGATAATGATAATGTCACACAGACACTTCTATTTATGGAGGGCGATAATAAAAACATATTAACAACATAGACACACTTACATGGGGAATGCGAAAATGATTAGAACATAGACAGTGCCATATTTTCGTGGGACTACGCAGCAATGATTAGAACATAGACACCGGTAATCACATAGCCACACATACCGGCAACAGCCACCACTGAACTAGTCATGACAACTCTCTTCACAGTACCGACCGCAGCCGCCGCCCTCAGGACATTCAGAGCTCCTTCCACGGCGGGTCTGATCACCTCCTCTTCGTGCTTGGGGTTCTCCACGGGCAGTGGGCTGGCCACATGATGGATGTATGTACAGCCTTGTGCTGCCCTAGAGGATGCATACATACACTAGGATGTAGTTTCCTGACCTTGTCCTGCCCTAGAGGATGCATACATTAACTAGGATGTAGTTTCCTGACCTTGTGCTGTCCTAGAGGATGCATACATACACTAGGATGTAAGTCAGCCTTGCCCTGGCCTAGAGGATGCATACATACACTAGGATTTAGTTTCCTGACCTTGTCCTACCCTAGAGGATGCATACATACACTAGGATGTAGTTTCCTGACCTTGTCCTGCCCTAGAGGATGCATACATACACTAGGATGTAGTTTCCGACCTTGTGCTGCCCTAGAGGATGCATACATACACTAGGATGTAGTTTCCCAACCTTGTGCTGTCCTAGAGGATGCATACATACACTAGGATGTAGTTTCCTGACCTTGTGCTGTCCTAGAGGATGCATATTTACACTAGGATGTAGTTTCCTGACCTTGTGCTGTCCTAGAGGATGCATATTTACACTAGGATGTAGTTTCCTGACCTTGTGCTGTCCTAGAGGATGCATACATACACTAGGATGTAGTTTCCTGACCTTGTCCTGCCCTAGAGAATGCATACATACACTAGGATGTAGTTTCCTGACCTTGTCCTGCCCTAGAGAATGCATACATACACTAGGATGTAGTTTCCTGACCTTGTCCTGCCCTAGAGAATGCATACATACACTAGGATGTAGTTTCCGACCTTGTGCTGTCCTAGAGGATGCATACATACACTAGGATGTAGTTTCCCAACCTTGTGCTGTCCTAGAGAATGCATACATACACTAGGATGTAGTTTCCCAACCTTGTGCCGTCCTAGAGAATGCATACATACACTAGGATGTAGTTTCCCAACCTTGTGCTGTCCTAGAGAATGCATACATACACTAGGATGTAGTTTCCCAACAACTATAAATTACGATTGTGCTGTCCTAGAGGATGCATATTTACACTAGGATGTAGTTTCCTGACCTTGTGCTGTCCTAGAGGATGCATACATACACTAGGATGTAGTTTCCTGACCTTGTCCTGCCCTAGAGAATGCATACATACACTAGGATGTAGTTTCCTGACCTTGTCCTGCCCTAGAGAATGCATACACTAGGATGTAGTTTCCCAACCTTGTGCTGTCCTAGAGAATGCATACATACACTAGGATGTAGTTTCCCAACAACTATAAATTACGATTGAACTATTTTATAACGAAGCCCGAGTGGAAATAGGGGAAGTTTCCCCACTGAAAGACATTTTACCATTTCGCTTGAATAGTTGCAGTATAGTCTCTTGAGAGCACTGGTTTCATAGGGTAAAGAGTGCTTCTTTTTTCTTTTGTTTTGTTTTATTCGTTCGGTCCTTGGCAACGACCAGAGTGTGAATGAATGTAACTCTTTTATCTTCCCCTCCACAGTATCATTCGCTTTCTTACTGATAGCGTTTGGTGAGATAATACACGATAAATCTGGCTTCCCCTTAAATGTTAAAAAAAAAAAAAAAATTATCTTACTGATAGCGTTAGGTGAGATAATACAGGATAAATCTGTCTTCTCCTCCATAGCAAAATACGCTCTCTCACTGATAGCGTTAGGTGAGATAATACAAGAGAAATCTGGCTCCACCTTTAATGTAAAAAAAAAGATTCTCTTACTGATACCGTTAGGTGAGATAATACAAGAGAAATCTGACTACCACTAATGGTCACGAGAACTGTGTGTATTGCCACACTGAAAGTCAAGTATTTCATGATTTGGCATCATGACTATTTCGTCCCTTGGATGTCTCATAGAAAACTTGTGATACTGAACAAATTCAAATGTTCATGTGACTTTTTGTTTTCTTTATATTTTTTAAAAAGTGAAAACTAATAAAAACCAAAAAAAAAAAAAAAAAAAATGCGACTGTATATAGCACCATAAAACCAGCGCAAATCGAAGACAATAATGTTTAGTGCTAAACTGACAGTATTTAGCTTTAATATCAAATAGGTTCTGTAGCATGGAGTTGAAACAGATATGACATCATTATTTTTATTGTGGAGATTCAGGTAAGAATTAAACACATTCCATGGAATCAAGAGGCGAGAAAAAGATACCCTCGTCTTCGATAAATTACAAGAAGAAGGAGAAGAAAGAAGGACGAAGAAGGAAGAAGAAAGAAGAAGGAAGGAAGAAGGAAGACGAAGAATAGAAATAATAATAATAATATTAAAAATAATAATAATAATAATAATAATAAGAATAATAATAATAATAATAAGAAGAAGAAGAAGAAGAAGAAGAAGAAGAAGAAGAAGAAAAGGAAGAAGAAAAAAAGAAAAAGAAAACAAAAAAGAAGAAGAAACAGAATAAGAAGAACGAAGAAGAATTGCGTAAAATTGCGAATAAAACTATCACGTTTTCACCTAATATGTTAAGTAAGTGATAACCACCTATTAGTCGTCTGCTAGCCACCTGCCGCGCACAAGGCACTGACGGAGATGCTGGAGACAAGCTCACATAATTACTAGCATGTACACTGGGTCAATAGAATAAAAGCAGCTAGCAAACCTGAAGGGAATCAGGGAGTGGAGTGACAAGATTGACTTCAGATGCATATGACAGAACACGGATAGAACAACTTGGCGGTTCAGCCAAAGACCTCTTCTCGATTACTGGATACATACAGGCGCAGAAAAACACAGAGAGACAACTCACTCGATCCACGACTGCGGGTTCAGCAGGTCAGCCTCGGCTAGTTCTAGCTGGTGTCGGGCACTAGGGCAGAGCTTGTACAGGTGTTTCTTCTTCTGCTCATCTTTGAGGTTTCGCACAGTTCCCCGGACCCGATATCCGGCCTCCTGCAGCTGTTTGATCACGTGTGTGGCCACGAAGCCGGACGCTCCGGTCACTAGCACACCTGCAGTAGAAAACATTGCCTATAAATAAAACCCCATCTAGGTTTCGGGACCCCAGTGTGATTTGGGTGGAGGGGTAACGTGACCCACTGTCCCATAACGAGCACTTTATTAATGGCGACTCGTTAGAAGGCGCTTTTGAGCTGAAATGTTATATGAAGATTTTCAGAATATCTTGGACAAAGAAGAGGAGAAATCATGACATCTTGAAAGATCTGAACATCAAGGAAGATTGACTAATAAACAGCATCCTGTCTCGGAAGCTGAAATATTTTAGTCATATTAAGTGCCACGACAGACTGAAAAAAAAAAAAAAAGCAGAAGTCAGTGTACCAGGAAGGAGGGACAGGGGCCGACCAACACGAAGATGGGCACACGATATAAGTGACTCCTTGAGTATGAAAGTACATGAGGTGTGAGAGCTGGCGACAGACCGAGTTTCTTTCAGGCAGACCTACATGATGAGTTAAAAGGCTAAGGTATCACATCCTAGCTGTTAACCACATACTGCCAGTTGACCTTTTAACAGGGTACGAAGAAGAAGAAGACTAGTAGTATTAGTAGTTTTACCCCACCAGGACATCACACAAGCGATAAACACCCGATGACACAAAGTGCCACCATGTGGATGAGGATCACCCGTGGAGAGGTCCCAGAAATTGCGTTCAGCCATTAGGCAATATTTATGACCGGGCTTTATTGCGGCCCCTGGCAAGAGCCAGGGTGGGGCTTTATTGCGGCCCTTGGCAAGAGCCAGGTTGGGGCTTTATTGCGGCCCCTGGCAAGAGCCAGGGTGGGGCTTTAACAAAAATTGCATCCCACAAGGGGATAACAAATATTTTTGTTTAAGTAACGAAGAAGACAACATATCTTCTGGTGGATATTGATCAAAAGTACAAAACAAACCAGTAAACACATCCTTAGAATATGTAAGCCAAAGTCTAGTACAGTTACATTCCCATTTATACCGCATTTTATCTGTGTCATCTGAACGTTTGTGGGACTTGATCTGTGTCATCTGAACGTTTGTGGGACTTCAGCCGTGTCTTCTGAACGTTTGTGGGACTTCAGCCGTGTCTTCTGAACGTTTGTGAGATTTGATCTGTGTCATCTGGACGTTTGTGGGACTTCAGCCGTGTC